AAAAAACAAAAGCAATCCACCCATCCCAGCAAGCTTCAGGCCAACGCTCTACAATGTCATACGCATATGCACTCCACAGCACATTTCAGTCCAAGATCTATTCACTCCCTTTTGCCTTTTACTTTAGTTGCTGAGGTGCTGGCCCAATGAGACCAAAGGAGACCACCTATTATGGGACAGCAAAAGCAAGCTGCTGATGGACTATGATTGCCAGATTTAAACAAAAGCCATGTCAAAACCTGAATGATTACTATGCAGGCTATGGTTGTCATGACAGTCAAGTGTCTCTCAAAGTCCCAAAAGCAGCAAACGCCTTTTGACAAATAGACTTCACTCTTAATGGACTTCACTCTCAAAGGATCACTGTTACATACAGACTTTACTCTCAATGTTTGACACACAGCAAGACACAGACTGACCAGCTTTTCACTCATCCCCGATACCGACAACGGCGCACGAACAGAGTTGTTTTATCTGCCCAACAGAGCAGCGAAGCACGATCCCCTTGGCTCTGGCACCTAGTGCTCCACAAGCAAAGGCACAAATCACTCATTGCCGAGGGGCTTGGCAAGGTTGCAGCTGCGTTCTCCCTGGCAATTTGGCTTATTGAGCAAATTCTGGCAGGAATACTAGTGTTGCGCTGTGGTCACCAGCCGACCGACACTCCTTGGCATCCGTCTGCGGATGCACATCCTCCCATCCTACCAGTCGGAGCAGACGACAGCTACTGCTGCAGTGACAGCACAGAACTACGTCTGCCCCCCGCTGTGCAAAGGTCAGACATCAGTGAGGGGAAACAGTGCAGAGTACCTGAGGACATGTCGCAGGATAGCTGTTCCTTGATTCCTCATCACTCTCCTGCCCATAGCAGGCTGCCTAGGAGGACACGCTGGCGCCCCGCAGTTGCCACAAAGGGATGCCTTCTCAAAGGCGGTTACCTTTCGGGTGCTGTCTCATTGAGACCCTAGGCGGGTACATGGTGTCTCTACCCCTTTCCTAGTCTTGGTGTGGCTACTTGAAAACGTGTGCAGTCCAACGAACCTGTCAATAACTCTACCTGCTCACACTCCCTGTAATGTGGGCACTTGGTTGTGGGGTGTAGGCATTTGTGATGTTGTCCACAGTCATTTGGCTCAAAACGCTCTAGTAAGGAAAGACACTTGCTCCCTTTGTCAGAGATACGCCACTACAGCTGCCTGCATCTCTGCAGTATCTCTGCAGCGGTTCAACACGTTAGTGGCACGGGAGGAGCTGGCACCCAAGTGCTGAGCTCCACATCCGGGCAAGGGCGCCATGGTAAAGCGGCAAACAGAGCCGTCTGTGACAGTTGGTCCTGAGGGAGTCATTCTCACCCCCTTTCCCGATGAAATCTGCCTGCAAGAGGATTTAGAAGTCAGCCTAGTGAGTCTCCCGGTCACAGTGTTGGACATTAGCTTTCCGATGTGCCTAGTTGCGGCCAGCGTTGGGCAGCGCAAGGCGGTGCGCCCGCGCACAGACGGTATCCCTGCATGGCCCATCCACCAGGTGCCTTGTGCTCTCATGCAGTGCAGTGTTGAAATGCCTAGTGGCCATGTGCTCTTCCCCTTTGCAGATTCGCCACACATCACGCAGGAAGGATTCATCATTCATGGCTCGAACCCTGAAACCCGGGCTAAAATATACCGCCTCCTATTGCACAGAGAAATCATAAGCAACCCTCGAGAAGCGGCTCAAGAGGTCCTTGTCCACTTGAGATGGATTCGAGAGGATGGCACACCGATACAAGTCTTTCCCTTCACTGCGCTCCAACACCTTGAGCATTGGCCAACCTTGCCCCCGGCAAAGCGTAGAGCTACCATGTGGCTTACCCCTCAGCCAGAGGGCCCACTGGCACCGCGAGCTTCACCTCAGTTCCAAATGTACCACCGGCCCCCTGCAGGACGGGCAGGCATCTATGCGTCTAAATATTTTTCTGATTGCTGGGCCCACCAAGTGATGCTGTACATCGTGACTACTTGATATTATATTACCACAGACCTTCCAAGATGGTGTTCACCTCACAGTTCCAGCTATTAAATCTGACTCTTGGCAAATGAGGCCATTGCTATTAGGATCGAGGCCACTGCTAGCCTAATTAAAGCCATCACTAGTAGGATGGAGGCCATGTCTAAAAGGTTCGAGACCATGGGTAGAATTTGGGACCATGGGTGGAAATCAGAGTAACCATCTGAAGCTTGGGGGCTCAGGCTTAGGACGGGCTTGGGTGACTTGGCCATGGCACCGGCAAAGTCATCTAAGAGCTCGAGGACGAGATCCACCGCCTCAACTTTGTCGGATGCCAAGGACTTGGCAACGACGATGATCAGTGGTTCGCAATACAACACTGATTTGGTGGATGACTTCAAGAAGGTTGTCGGAGCCCTACAAGACAAGTGGCCAGATGTGCTTCATGAAGATCCTTTGCTGATCAAAGAGGGTGGGCGGGAGGCTGGTTGGGTGACACGTGTAATTAATTTTGAACACTGTCAGTTACCAAATTAAATTTAGTTTACTGAATGAACATCATCTGCTTGACACACCTCCATGCCAGGCACCGTTCAGCTCCGTCCATTTCGGGTCCATGGTTGACTCTACCGACAAGGTGAAGTCCTACAAGTGTGGTCAGAATTGGTTCCGCCACAACATGCTCTTCAACCCAGCGCCGGGAGCTACGTAGCTGCAGGTATTTAGGTTTTAAGCTATTTAAGTTTAGTGTGTCTAAATATATTTGGTTTAAAGGTGTTCTGATTCTTGAACTAAGACGCCTATCCGATCTTCGGCCATCGACGCCATCATGAAGCACCACTTTGGCCAACCGGGACACTATCCGACGGTCTTGAAGGTGCATGTGCCGTCGGCAGCTTGGTTTATAATTAAAGTTATTTTATTTATGTTTTGTTTTAATGTTTAAAAAACATTGTAATAATTATTTGGTTCAAGCTTCAACTTAGCCAAGGACATGAACTATGAGGGCGTCACCAAGGTCCGTGCTGGTGATGACAGTCCATTTGCACAGGTGAGGATGATCTCACCACTGGAAGTGGACTATGCCTTCGTTCTGGCGGCCTACAGGGACATCAATGACTCAGAGAAGTTGGACCAATGGAAGCGGCTTCCCGGCTCATTTTAGCTCTATTTGATTTTGTCAACTGAATGTTCTGTCTAAAATTTTAACTAACCTGCTTGAGGTTCTTCTTGTCCGTGAGCTTTGAGTACATCATGACCGACTGCCCCTTAGATGAGTGTCTTGTCAGTAATAATGTGACATGGATCAACCACATTACATTAAACAAGTCTTTGAACTCCCTTTCCCCTGCCCTTCAAACTGAGGCTCCACTTGCTGGCATTTCAGGAGCGCCAGTGCCTTGGCAGCGTATAGTTTAACGTTTGTTACATGGTGCGTCCATGAGCCCTGACTTGTCCTCTCCTTTGTTTGTTTTTGTGCCTAGGACCTTCGATCTGCATGGGGTAGCGCTGAAACACTCAGCGTTACAGGTGTTTTGGAGCATCCTGACCTACAAGCGGGAGCTGGAGACTAAACAGGGGGTGATCACCAGTGAGGAGCTGTCCAAAAAGTATATGGAGAACATCAGATTCGCAAAAGAGGAAGAGGCTGTGTCGTGGCTTATTGGTATTTTCAATTGAAACTGACTTGGCAAAAGAAAAGACAATCTCAACAATTTTAATGTTAGGCTGATGCCAATTGAGTGAGGTGTCACCAAGCTTCATCGACACTGCCTGTACACTGGGCAACCGTGCTGCTTGGCTGAAGGTGTTGGCCTGGTGTCATGAGGCTGAGGGGGGATGAATTTAAAGTATATTAAAACCTTCACCATAATTTTAACTCAGGTATTCACAGACCAGAAGCTCACGGACATGCTCTGCGATGCTGATGACAAGCAACTGGCTGCCTTCAAGGACGGGTCAAAGTATCAAATATTGGTGCAACAAGGAAAAACTCCCGAATCAATTCGGTGGGTGTTCTTTGCCTTGCAACTTGACTCAATCATAAAATATTTTTGGTAAAGACTCCGGAATCAACACGGTGGGTCTTCTTTGCCTTGCAGCTTGACTGAATCAGAACAAGTTTCTTGGAATCTTACATTAAGTTCGAAGACTCATGTTGCTTAGTTTAAACATGCTTGGTACGTTTAAATTAAGGTATGATGGATGTCAGAGGGACTACTTGCCGGCCAACTTCTTGTCCAACCGAAGTCTCCAAAATTTGACCTGCAAGATGTTCCTGGCCCAGCGCTCCCTTCGTGACTGCCTTCTTCGGGTCATGGAGGATGACTTTGATTGGCCTCATGGCATCAAGGATACCATCCGTGAGGTGACCAGTGATCATACAACACTGGTCAGGTCACTTGACTCAAGTATTTGGCAGAATCAGTGGCTGTAGGTCAAAACCCGGAGCCCCAAACCAGGGTAGGTTGACCTCCCAGGTAGTCTATTATTCTGTTCATTCACCAGGTGGTCAATGGTGTCCCGGGAGTCATCAGAGTTTTTAGTTTGGTCTGACTCAGGAAGATCAAGGAACTCACTTGGAGAGCTGGCTGGCCGGATTCCGCTGAGCGCTTCTGGCAGCTCGTTGAGGTGCCCAAAACTGCAAGTTAGTCAATCAAACTAATTCTTTGGTCCCGGGAGTCATCAAAGCTGCTGTCAAGCACATGCTCAGGATGCGGTCTTCGGTGCTGGCTACCAATCAGCTCTGACATCACTTGTCAAGAACCGAAGGAGCATCCCTGAGTATTTGGAGAATCCTGAGCTGAAACAGGAGCTCACTGCCATCCACGAGATGTATGATGAGGAAATGAAGAAAAAGAAGAAGGAGTTGAAGCTTGCCCAGAAGGAGAATGGCACCCTGATAGATGATGACGAGGATGAATTGGAGGCCGAGAAAGAGGATCCTGTGGAACCTGAAGATCAAAGCCTCAAGCACATCATGGTTGAGGGTGATGATCCAAGCCTGCCATTCAAGAATCCCAAGGATGGCTTCACGGAGAAAGGCATCCAAATGAAGGACCGGCTGGCCCATTTCAAGAAGCAAGCCCAGAGAAAAGTGCCTTGGTCTGTTAACTTGTCTACTAAGTCCTTGTTGTCTTTTGAATTCAAACAATATGTGAAACACCTTCTTGTCTAGCAACCAGGTCTCGACGATCTGCAAGTTCATCGTGGAGCCTCAAACAGAGGCTGATCTTGTGGATGCCTACATGGATTCCTTCCTGAAGGACTATACAGCCGAGTGGAGCCTTGTCTGTACTTGGGGTAGGGAAGGGGAGTATTGTCAAGTACCGGTTGTTCGTCGTCATTGAGTCATTGTCAGTCACTGTCACTGTGAGCCATCAATGATGAGGAAACCACTCCATCTGGGGGATGAGCCTGTGGCCCATGGACTCTTGGGCCACTTCTTCGACTCCAAACTGGCCAGCGAGGCCAACACCCAGCCAAAGGTGAGGGCTCCGCCATTGAAGGTTTCTCAGCTAAATTAAGGAGGTTTAGTGGTTTCATTTCATGGAAATGCCACAACCACGACGACGAGCGACACAGGACAACCGAGTTTCCCGACTGCTCTCTTCAGTGATGTGGCCTGGCAGCAATTGAAATCAGCACAGGTCAGTGAGTCTTGAAACTTAATTATCAGAATTTAAGTTAGATTCAATCTACTACCCAGGCAAGCCCGCTTTCCTCAGAATCCGGATGGTGCACCAACATGGAACAACAATGATGTGGTCTTTGTCATGGATGGAGGGAGGGCCGGCAACAAGTCGGCATTGACCACCATGAAGGTGAATGCAGTGCCGGTGACCAAAAGCGAGAAAACACTGCAGATCATTTATGATGAGGATTCGATACTTGCAAGGACTGGGGTTACCGTTCCCAAATGTCGTCTTATGTGAACTGAATGAAGTTAGTGTCTGTCATGTTGCCCCTGGCAAGGAGGGATCGGAGGACCGGACCAGTGAAGCAATTGGAGACCGTCTACATCATCAGCGGCCCTGACGGATTGAAAGTCCCAAAGCGGTCAAGGACTGACATGCGTTTAACCATGTTGAAATAAACTAACTTAGTTCATTGATTAAAAGACCCTGGAGGATCCACTTCAAAGGATCAAACCGGGGAGATTCTATCTATGGGGTTCAGATGCCGGCTTACACTGATGATACTTGGCGTCTGACGTTTGGTCAGAAGAAGCAGCTGTTCGGCCGCCACCGGTGTGCTGTCGGTGGCAGTGCCCCTGAAGGGGCCGAGCTGGAAGGAGCCTGTTTTTGTTTTAAGTTTAACAGAACTTTTCAATCTTTTGACAAGAGGAAATGACACTCAGACCGCTCAAACAAGACGACACTCCACCACTTGACAGGACGCCGTGTGGACACAGCCAAAGAGCCGGTGTTCTTCCATGCTGGTCCGATCCAACTGCAGGAAGAAATCATCCATGATTTCTCAGTTGGGGCAGTGAACGATCTCTCAGCAGGCTCGGTGACCAAACTTGCATTTGCAATCATGTTTTTCAATGAGTCTTAAACAGTAAGACTAGTGGCCTTCAGGAGACGGCAGCCTTGCACTGGTGGCAATCCGACGGAATCTGCCCTACGTCGGCTTAGTGCTGACTGAAGACCACGTCCAGAGCTCAGCATATTACCTTTTTTTGGCAACTTGAATCAATACTCAGAATCTAACATCGCACTGGCACAGCTTGGCTGAGGCAAAGCACTTGGTGGCCCACCTGGAGAACAAGGTCTTCCAGTGCATGCAGGACACATCTGATCCCCTGCACAGTGCGGAATTGTGCAAGCTGATCAAAGGCAGCAAGAAGCTCAAACAGGACTGCTTGAAATTTGGATCACAGTTGATGTCACTGTCACTGAAAACTAATAAACAAATCAACTAAAACAAAATTTAAGTAGGGTGGACACAAACACTGACTGCGGTGGCCAGGACTCAGCAAAAGATGATGAGGAGGAGCATCGTGATGACCAGCCAAAGCCAAAGGCTAAGGCCAAGTCCAAGGGAAAGAATCCAAAGCCTGAGAAGCCAGAAGATGATGATGCTGAAGAAGTTGAAGAGCCTGCGTCAGTGGCGGAAGAGACTGATCATGATGACAATGATGACCAGGAGGCGGATGATGGCCTTGAAGAGTGTCTTGAGGAAAAGGGCGGAGAAGATGCGAAGACTCCAGAATGGATCAACACGGAAGGGGAAGAGACATCATCCCCGCCGGAGGACACGGTTGATGAGATCCTTCAGGAGATCAAGAACCCCAAAGCTAAAGCAAAGGGAAAGGCAAAGGCAAAGGCCAAACAAGAGCCGAAGGCAAAGGGCCGGAAGCCTAAGGAGAAGGGACCGGAGGAACAAGTCCCGGAGCCGAAGGCAAAGCCAAAGGCCAAGAATGGGCCAAAGAGGAAGAAGGGGGCTGATGACATGGAGGCTGCAGAGAAGATCGCGGCAAAGCTTCGCAAGGTTGCCAAGCCGGGGGCAAGCTAAGTGAGATGACTGAGTCTCAAGAGTTTGTGGGACTGTGGTCTGGGCTCAGGATGCTGGGGATAGAGTGAGTAATGAAAGTACTAGACTTGAAATCGGAATCATGAAAAGATTAATTACTTTGATTTGAACTTAACAACTTTGAAAGACTAAACTAAGAGATTGAAACACATGTAATGACAACTTAAGATTTCATTTGCCGTTCAAAGCTAGAAAGTTGAGTTGAACTCACTCAGCAAACGCGGACTGAGCCTAAGTGTTTTGAGTCCCGAGTTCATAGGACAGGCTCTGATGGAATCATCAGCAAAGCCCTGCTTCAAACCGATTCACCAACCGCCCTTGGCCCGATCAAAAAAGTCAGGTCTTGCAGTCTTCAGCACAAGAATAGTCAGTCTGTCGTTTGGAAAGCAAGTTTGACAACATGGCAGTTTTTGGACATTGACCGTGTTGCCTTTACTTCAAGAAACAATGACAGCTGTGGAAGGAACATGAGCATGTGTATCCCTTAAATTAAACTGTGAAACATACTTTCATTCTAAATACATCATCAACAAATGATGTTCATACACTTTCTTTATTCTTACTGATTAGGATGATGGCAAAGGTTGTCAAGCTGGGTTCTGACTTCTCCGGCTTGGAATGTTTGAGTTGGGCTGCATCGAGACCTGTCTGGAGATTACCGTCGAGTCCCCATGCCTACTATTGTTTGGAGGTGGTTGCTTAATTTAATTTAATGACATGCACATGAAAATAGAAATCAAAGTCTTTGGAGTCCGGGGGATTTTGACTCAACACGGGGGACCTTGCCAGGTCCAAACATTAACTGGTTGATAGCTGACCATGCCCACCACTGATCTGTAACCCAAGGAAAGCTGGCCTGAAGACCGACTTGCGCTTTGTGAGCGAGATCAATCCAAACTTGCGGAAGATCACGGCCAAGATCCATGAACCCAAGGTCATATTCAAGGACTGGCTGGGTCACTGGGTCAGTGACTTAATCAAGGATAATACTTCTTTGACCGGTATTGTTATTACTACCTCTCACTCCAACTTGAGACAATGAACAATTCAATCCCATAGTTGATTTCTCACATCCATCCAGACCCTGACCAGTGCCAGACCCTCCAGACTGAGTGATCGGTCACAACCACCTCCAGACTCACACCAAGTGGACCCAAACTGGTTGCCAGGCTCAGGACGCTATCAACCGAGATCCTGAACTGGTTCCCAGGGTGGACCTATATGGTGCTGGTCCCCCTTGCCAGCCGCTGTCTTCAGCTGGTAAGAAACGAGCATATGTGACCTGGTGCCAGCCTTGAACTTTTGGTGTTGATTTAAAATATAGTTTACTTCCACAGTCTTCACCTCTGAATGATCCCAAGTCTTAATTACTGAGGATGATGTCAGGGCAAAGTGCTACAATGCCACCTTCGACTATATCAAGGCAAAGGTTCCTCGTGTGGTATTAATTGAGCAGGTCCCACACATCCTGTCCAACAAGAAGTTGAGGGTGAAAGTCTTTCAGCGCTGGATGGCTGAGTTCCTAGGGCTGAATTCAGTTCAGCACAGTTCTGTCTTAGAGTTTTGTGACCCCATTTCAACGAGGTTGCGTTCGGTGAAGGATCAGAATTCCAAGCCTGTCTATGATATCCACTTCAAGGTCTTGAATGCCGAGTCCTATGTCCCTCAGAGTCGCAAGCGGTTATTCATTGTTGCTTTGTCCAAGAAGTACCAGAAGAAGCCGTTCAAGTGGCCAGCACCCCGTCCAAGGAAACTGAGCTTCTTGAGTATCTTGGAGAAGGTCAAGGGTGGTTCTCGATCCGTGGATTGTTTGTTAGACACATTTTCATTTGAAAGGTAAGGGTCCCAACTGTCCCTCCCAACTGCTCAGGACCTAGTTATTGCCATCAAAAAGTTATTGTATTTAAGTTCCAAAACCAGCCCAGGACCATTGTCAAAGCATGCTTCAAAGATGTTGTGCCGGGGCCTCAAGAAGATCAAGAAGATGGGTGGTGACCCGAAGAAGCAGACTTGGCACCTCAGCTTTCATGGAGTTTCAAGCTGACGGAGTTGTGTATTTATGCACTTTAAATTAATTAAATGATGTGATAAACTCATCTGATGATCTAAGGCTTGTTGATATTGGTGCCTCCAAGAAGTTCCAGAACATCCCAAGGAAGGACATCACCCCGTGTTTGACGAGGACTCGTGCATCTCAGGGTGGCTGGTGGCTGACAAAGCTTGAGCGCCGGATGCTGCCTAAGGAGACTTGTTCGAAATTATTGCGTTCTAAAATTTAAGTTATTTAATAGGTGATTCTGGTTTGAAGGGCTTTGTCATTGATTTTGGTTGCCCTGGAGGAGATGCTACGATTGCAGGGCATTTCGGGTGAGGTCAGTGATCTGGCCACTGCCTTGGGAATCTCACCCAATGAGGTTGGAGCGGCAGCTGGAAATGCCTGGCCTGTTCCACTGGTAGCTGCAATCTTGGCTAGGGTCAAGGCATCCATGGATTGGTGAGAAAACCTACTACTACGCACCAGTTGACTGACTAATTGAATTATTATGTCATGAAGGTTGCCGGATCCTAGCCATGTGACAGACCTTGGGATGATGGAAAAAGTATGAGATGTTGTTGGGCTGTTTGGGGTTGATTGATGGG